ACGGGGCCGGCCGGAGCTCGGGAACGGCCCCGGGGCCCGCGCCCGACTAACGGCCGTAACGGAAGCGCCGAAGGGGGTGGGGGACTGAGTCCACGGCCCGGGGGCAGGAAGGTCCGGGCCGCAAGGCAGGCTCCCTCTCAAGCTCGGCCGGCCGCACCGTCGCCGCCGCCGCCTCAGACCGCGACCGTTTCGTTGTCACGAGCCGGAGGGAGGGGGAAGGAGCCGGGAGTCTCCGGGCTCCGGGGCGCGGAGATAGCGGCGCCCGAGTCACGTGCCGCTCGACAAACCAATGAGCGCCGACGGGCGCGGTGACGTCAGAGCAGCGGCGTGGCCGATGACAACCGGCCCCCATCACGTGGTCGGGCCCACTCCAATGGGCGGCGCCGGGACGACCTGATCTTCCCGGCGGCCCGTGCGTCGGCGGTGGTTGGGTGGTAAGATGGCGGCTGTGAGCCTGCGGCTCGGCGACTTGGTGTGGTGAGTCCAGGCTGTCGGGGCCAAGCGAGATGCGCCGGGGACCTGCTCCCCTGGGCGCGGGGTTTGCGGCAAGCCCGGGAGCTGCTTTTCTGTGCGCTCCAGGCCGCGGAGAGAGGGGAAGACGAGATGCAGTTTCTGCGAGCGACGCCGGGCGGAAGGGGCAGCCCGGCCCCGGGGGACTGAGGCTGAGAGTGGCCACGGAGGGCCGGGCTCTGAGCCCCGAGGCCGCCCGGAGGATGGCTGCTCTCGGGGCTCGGACACTGGCGGCCACCGTGAAGGGGAGCCCTGGCGCCGCTTGGCTCCCGCGGACGCCAGGTCCCCGGGGTCTTGCTGGGGCTCCCCGGAAAGCAGGAGAGCCCGGGAGCCCGCGGGGCCATCTGGCGGGGCAGACCCGTCAAAACCTGCGTCGCGATGGAACTGACCTGCGCGGGCGGCTCGGCTGTGGATGTGGAAACCGGACTGCTGGCGCTGCCGCGTGAAGAAACGGAGGGGGGAACTTCTCCTTTACGATCGGTGGCTTGGCAGTGACCAGTGCCTTCCTTGGGTGCCTCTTGTGTGCTTCTGTGTCCCAGACAATCGTCCGAAGACAGATTGTCGCCGCCTCCCTCGAGCTGCGTAGCTTGTTTCTCCACCCAGAGGAAGGCTTCCATTAGCATTTGTCAAAGCCAGGCTGGTCTCCTGTTGAACTAAGCCAGACTTAGTAAAGGGAAGTCTGTGTTTACAGAGCAAAGTGTCCCCCACCTCCGTCACTGGGAGGCTGTGTTGTTTTGTATCCCTTGTCAGCCGAAGAATTCACTTACCTTATGCATGTACATATACCATTTTGCTTTCCATTTCTGAGGGTCTTGGGCCCAGCTGTGGAAGCCAGATTAACAACTCCCCTTTGCCAGCTTTTGTTTTGGCGCTTGAGGGTGCCAGTAGAGATTTAGGAAAATAAATTACCCTATTGAGTGAGTTGACGGAAACGGACTGGCTTTTTCAGGGCAAGTGCTAACTGTTTTGTTTTCTCTAGGGGGAAACTCGGCCGCTATCCTCCTTGGCCCGGAAAGGTAAGTGTCTTGCTACTAAAGTAGATATCTTAGGTTGCGTGTGAGGAGGTGAGAAATGTAAGGTGCATTCCCCTCAATTTCTAGTATTGAGTTAAACTGGGCCCATTCAAATAACACTCAGAATTTTTTTCTCTATCAGTTATGTTAGAAAAGGCAATATAATATAAAGAAGATCGTTTACTATACAGTAAACGCTTATTTCTTGAATCAGAAATGGGTCATGAGTTTTGTTTTTTCTTAACCCTGGAAATCAGTTCTAATTTGAATTTAGCTTTGTGCTTAAGTCTAACAAAAAGAGAAGAAAATAGATTCTCCAGGAAGAGAGAGATCTAAATGTGGGTTAGTGAAAATCCAGAGTATTTTTGTCCCAACTAAGTTTAAATCTTCTTTCCATGTTACCATATGTGCTGCTCCAGTGCATCTTTGCAGGAGTTGGCACTCCAGATTTTGCATGAGGTGATCCGTCACAGCTTTCCAAATGTTCTGTTTTTATATTCTTTTTAGGAGTCAGTGAAATGTCTTTAGACTCTTTGCAATATAGTGTTTTCTGTACCTCAGTTGTCCTTTATTTTCATTATTATCTCTCTCAACTCTTCTTTCACAAGAAGTATTTTGAAGAGTGTCTTCTACATTTCTTTGGTGATGACATGTTCGTCTTAGTTTTAACCACTTGTAAAACAGGGCCATTGCAGTAAAAGGGATATTGTGTCTACTGAGCAAGGTGCTATGTGTTAGATATAGGGAATTTATCTAATATTTGCACATTTTTACACTTCTCAGTAGAAAAGTGCCGAGACAAGTACTAGGACCTCAGTTCTTATTTATACATATCCGTTTTATGTTATTTTTTCTTACCAGCTTACAGCTATGGAAAATTACATTCTAGCAGGGTTCTGTGTTGCCATCAGACCTTTTTGTTTTCCCTTTTATCCTCCAGATTGTTAATCCACCCAAGGACTTGAAGAAACCCCGTGGAAAGAAATGCTTCTTTGTGAAATTTTTTGGAACAGAAGATCAGTGAGTAGAACCCACCACGAGTCTCACTTTGCCTTTGTTTGGGTGTTACCCTGAATCTGAGCTGCTCTGAGAATGTTCCAGGGATTCTTAGTTCAGTGTTCTTGTACATAAGAATGGCATATCATTCTGGCTTCATACCTAAATAAAAGGTGCCATTCTTATCTCTCAGTAATTGTGTTGGGCACCTGTACTGGGGCCAATAACAGAGTCAGTCAGGTAAGAACCAGGTCTCATCACCTTCTAAATGTGATAGTCACAATGAGAGTATCTTGCATCTTTCTTTACCCAAGTTCCTTTTATGAGAGCCATGTTGGGTTATCTTTTAATGGCTGTATATCATTACAGTTCATTCATGTGGTATACAGTGAAAACTAAAATTTTATTTTATTAAAAGTAAGTGTTTAATTCTGTTCACTTTTGTAACACCAGGTGACTTGCTCTAACATTGTAATAGTAAAGCTTTATTACCAGATCTGTTCTAAAGTTGGAAAAATGAGGACCATTAATTTGAGAATCTTTGACCTGACATAAGACCATATAAGAAACTATTTAAAAAATAGGTTGCTGTGGGACTGACATGTTATCCTTTTTTGAGTAGGCAGTTAACTTAGAGAAAGGAAACCAAAGGTTAAGGATCTGCAGCACGTCTCTAATCAGTGTTAAGGCAGGTTTTATTTACTATCTGTCTCTTATCTGAACATAAGATCTCCAGATTGGCCAGTGGAAGCAAATTATGTTGAGGAAAGAGCTCTGGATGTGTTAGAGGCCTAACGTGCATTCAGATACCGGTTCCGCCTGCTCTGTAATCCGAGCAAGCTGTTGTACCTTTCTAAGCCTTTGGGTCTTCATCCACATAAGGGGATGATACTCTCCACCTGGTAATTATGATGGAAAAGTAACATTACTTATGTGTAGTGTGGCTTGGCGTATAGCAGGTATTCAGCCAACATCAGCTCAGGGTACAGATCTATTACAAGAGAGGAAAAAAGCTGATAAGAAGCAAGTGCCTTTAAAGAAAACATGAGCGAGACAGGCACGGACTCTGCTCATGACAGAGAGAGTTTCAAAAGAAAAGAATCTGAGAGTTGGAGAGTCCTAAGGATATCAGCCAGGTATGTTCTTTTGACCAAAAAGGCTTTGAACACAAAACAATACATCAGTCCACCTTTAAAACTGTATGGTGCCTCACTAGGAATACTATGTGCAGTTCAGTTCATGCTTCCAAAGGGATCTGATAAGAGTAGTCAAGATCCAGAAAAGGGAACCAAGTGAGACAAAAGGCCAGGACTCTTTAATGTGGGAAAGCAAAAGCTAAAAAAAGATCATGATCAGAATTTACAAAACACTAAATGGCCTTGAGTTTGGCAAGGGGCACTGTGACTGGAAGTTGTGTGACTATTTAGGACTCATTTTATAAGGAACATTATGTGAAACAGGTAGTATAGACAGGTAATGTAAGTGACATTTTTAGGGATGAGAACTAATTTGTGAAAGGTAAATCCATAAGTGACATTTTTAGGGATGAGAACTAATTTGTGAAAGGTAAATCCATAAGTGGCTATAGTAGAAGCCAGATTCTACCTCACCTTTAACACTTGGCATCAGGCAGAAGGCCAGGGAGTCATGGCACGTCCTGGGGTGGGAGTTCCATTGGCTCCTGGACCCTGGCCTGGGTGGATAGGGTCTGACCCAGTGGGGCTGTTGCTATATTTCTGAGGAATATAGGATTTGGTCAGAGATGTTCCATTTCAAAACTGACATACTGGGGCCGGCCCGTGGCTCACTCAGTAGAGTGCGGTGCTGATAACACCAAGGCCGCGGGTTCGGATCCTATATAGGGATGGCCGGTTTGCTCACTGGCTGAGCGTGGTGCTGACAACACCAAGCCAAGGGTTGAGATCCCCTTACCGGTCATCTTTAAAAAAAAAAAAAAAACTGACATACTGCTTATGGGAAAAATATACATAGTTATTATTTTTTTATATGTGAGGACCTTTATTAAAGAGTAAAAAGAGTAGTTCTTTATGACAAGATGATTTCAATCTTTTAGAAACCTGTTTTTTCTCTCTCCCTTCCCCTGCCAAAACATCTAACAAATTGTGTCGACATCCCACAGTTAGGAAGAAAGGGCCAGACCTTCCTAATCAGACCTCCCTGTGAGGGAGGGACTTAATAAAACGGCTAGATGTGGCTCTCTGAGCCAGGTGGCCAGGAAAGACAAAAGTGCCCACAGTCGAATTAAGAACTTTTTTTTTTTTTTTCCCTTTTTGTCTTTTTTCGTGACTGGCAACGGATCGCAACCCTCAGTGTCGCGCCCGTACCGGACCAGGACCGGCAACGGGATCGCAACCCTCGGTGTTGCGCCCGCACCTCGCTCAGCCAGTGAGCGGCCGGTCTGTACGTGGGATCCGAACCCTCGGCGGGAGCGCCACCACACTCCCAAGCGGTGCACTGTAGCAGTGCGCCACCGGGCTGGCCCCGAATTAAGAACTATTTTTACAGAAATACAGAAGGAGAAATAACTTTGCTGGCTCCACCAGGTGACCACAACCAAAGACTGTCAAGTTTGGGAGTGTCCACATTTGACAGGACTGGTGAGTGGAGGTCACCCATCAGAGTAGAGACAGAGCCCAAGGTTCAAAAATTTCATCAGTGGCTGTGGATGGTGGAATGGAGGGAAGTGTTCATTCAGTTTGCAAGTGTGTGGAAGCCTTCAAAAACAAACCAATCCAGAGATTACTGTAGGAAAACAATGGGTAGATTGCAAATAACCCCGAGAGTTTCCATAGCAATCTTCACATCTCATTCTCACAGCCACTGTTTTACGAAATGGATAGGGTCATTCTTGCTCTTTTTCACAGATGAAGAAAGTGAGAGGCCAGGGGTTTATGGATTTAAGTGATAAGATGTCCAGGGTTTCAGCCTGAGGTGCTTTTTACATCAAGCCATGTCTAAGATGGGACAGGTCTGGGTGGGTGTGAGGTGTCTGAATATGTACTAAAAGTAACTCTTCTAGAAAAATCTGTGGCTAATGATTAGAAGCATAGCAGGTTGGAACCATGTGAGCATTCCTTTTTCTTTTCACCTAGCACCTGATCGACCCACTTTCCCTACGTCCAACACTGCAATAGTTGGAGAGTTGAGCCAAGTGGCTAGTGAGGGCCATTGTTCTGGATATTTGACTGAGACAGCAATGTCTCTTTGCCAAGGCTGGGCAAGAGCTCTCCTAGAAGGCATTGATTAAATTCTCTTCTCCTGGCCTGGGGCCGGCCCGGTGGCGCACTGGATAGTGCGCTGCTTGGGAAGCGCGGCGGCGCTCCCGTCCGAGGGTTCGGATCCCACGTGCAGACCGGCTCCCACTCACTGGCTGAGCGAGGCGTGGGAGCAACGCCGAGGCTTGCGATCCCGTTGCCGGTCCCCGGTCCGGTACGGGGGCAACACTGAGGGTTGCAATCCGTTGCCGGACACGGAAAAAAGACAAAAAGACAAAAAAAAAAAAAAAAAAAATTCTCTTCTCCTGGCCTATGGGCGACTCCCTTCATTGCTGATGCAATAGACTGTGGGAGCAGATGTCATGCAACAGAATTGTACAAACTGGCCCAAAAAGAAGTAGCTGGCCATGTGGACATAGACAGCACAGCTAGAAAGCCTCATCTAGCATTTGGGAATGTTTTCAAGTTTTAGAAACAAAACTTTCATCCATCTTATTTGCAACTTTTTATTGATGTGAATCGTTGCTTGAAATTAACTGAGAAATTCTTCATTATTTTCTTGGGGGCGGGGGGTGTTCCAGTGCCTTTGTTTCTGAATAGCTTAGACTTGGACCTGTAACACCCCAGTAATCCTCAGCCTCTTTTGAGGGTTTAAAAAATAAAAAAGAGGCAGGCATAGAAATTGTTTACCAAGTGCTACTTAGCAAATCCAGGTGGAGAAGCAAACCCACATCTTCTGACCCTGTCCTTGTTCTCGCCTTTAGACTTTGCACTCGTGTTCGTTCTCTCTCCCTGTCTCTCTCAGCTGCAAGGGTCCAGCCCAGGTCATTGTGTCCGTGTGAAGGATGAGACACATATGTGAGGGTGTTTGAGATTGTGCACAGACTGACATCTTTGTTTGTTTGTTTTGTTTTGGTGGCTGGACGGTATGGGAATCCAAACCATTGACCTTGGTGTTATAACACCACGCTCTAACCAACAGAGATAAGCAGCCAGCCCCAACTGACATCTTTAATACGACACCGCCATGTGTGATTTTCATTTCAGAGGAAAGCACATCAGAAGTGTGGAAGTTTTTGAATACATTTTGAGTGGAGTAATCAGAGAGTGGCTTAGTGGCAATTTTGTGTTTACAAGTGAAGAGAATTTTTAGGTTATGTGTCAGGATACCAGGCTGAGCTTACCACTCTCGACCATATTACAGGTGCAGTTACACCAGCAGCCAGGGAGGAGCTACCCACCAGAGCAAACCTACAAACCAGGAACTCATGGGGAAAACTCTCAGGGCAGTCAGAATAGCTCATGTCCCATGGCATAGGCCTTTAATATTTGTTGTTTTTTAAAGCTAATACATGTTTATGGTTCAAAAAATAAAGCTATAAATAGTGAAGTGGTTCCATTTATCCCTGTCCCTCAGCCACCCAGTTAGATGAGATTCCTATGATAGGTCCCTCTAGAGATATTGGTACATAAGCAATAAATTACATATTCCTTTTTCCTCGTTTCTGCACGAGCTGTAGTGTGCCACACACACTGCTCTCCATCTTGCTTTTTCTGATTAGCCAGATATCTTAAGAGACCTTCCATTTCGTTCTCTGTAATGATTGCCAGTTAGCTTGTTTTCATGCATTTACTACCACAAACAATCTGTAATTAATTCCATTGTAGATAAATGCAAAGCCTCCTACCTCATTAAACACAACTGGAATAAGCTTGATTTTTCTGACTTCCCAGCTCACAGCAAAATTGGGCTGAAAAGGTACAGCTCCATCAAGGCCTTGGGAGGATGACATGAGGAAAATCCTAAGTTATAGCTTATATTAAGGACAGAAACAGAACAGTCACTTAAAAAACCAACAACAGCAACAACAAAACAAACACTAAATCACTGGTTGGCAGTCTAGCCCCAGAAAGTGCCTGGAAGGCATCATTTACCCAGTGATTATTTATTGAGCACCAGTTGCATGCCAGGCACGCTGATGTGCCTCAGTGGATTGGAGAGTGGTGCATTATTAGAGCTCTGGCTTAGAGGCAGACCCTCTTTAAGAAGAAGCAGGGCTTCACAGTGTAGCCATTAGAGAAAACATTCTATTCAGATGGCCAAAGCGATGTAAGTTTGGTTTGCTTACAAGAGTAATCGTCCTAGGGCTCTCGTGAGCTGGTTTTTTATTGACTGTTTTTCCGATGCGACAGGATGCTTCTCTGGCAATAAGTTGATTTCTTAAATAGATTAACATTTCTTGCAGTTATTTTCATGAAGTCATACTTATGCTGTCAGTTCATTTAGCAAGCCATTTTAATGTTTCCAAGACAGTGCTGAGAGGAAAATTTCATTTCAGTATCTCAAATTCCTATCTTTAAGGTGAGCGGAAATTTGACTGTATTGTTCCTTCTGGCAGAAATCAGTAATCCATTTAAAATGCTTCAACAAAAAAATAGGTGTTGATTTATTGGTGCTTCCTCCAGCAGACCTCCACACCTTTCCATTTGCTAGAGTCCACAGTGAGGGTGAGGCTTGAGTTAGGAGGCGGGCATGGCAGTAGCAGCAGAGAGTGGGTGGGCTTACTGATTCTTGGAGTCTGTTGTCCCATATCAAGGGGCTCTGTAAAAATCATCTTGTTGGTCTGCTGGGAACTTTTGTGACTCTTAGTTTCTCACCTGAAGCTCCTAGCAGGAAGAGGCCAGTGCTGGGTGTCATGGCTCTTTAAGCTTCATCCCTGATACTGCTTGTGTCATCTCAGAGCTGCCAGTTAGTATGGCAGCTTTGTTGGCTTTTCGGGCCAGGTCTGACTTTGCATCTAATTGCTCGGGTCTGTCCTTAGAATCTCTGTAAATGCAAGGAGAGGCAGGGGAGTCAGTTCAGCATTATACTTGCCAGAAAATATGAGATGGAAATCTCATCCCACTTTTCTTCCCTGTCGACTGGACTCATTGGCACTCTCATGTTGAATTTCAAACTTTTGGGCTGGCTGGTTAGCTCACTTGGGAGAGTGTGGTGCTGAGAACACCAAGGTCAAGGGTCCGGACTGCTGTACCAGCTAGCTGCCAAAAATAAAAAAGAATTTCAAACTTTTAAGATGGGTTGGCCACTAGAAAGGTACCTGCTTGACTCCTCTGGGTAGAGCTCTATGCCGGAGAGACCAGCAATTGTGTCAATGTTCTGCATTTTATTTAGCCGTAGTTGACAAGCCTGATCCTGGTTTTCTGCCTGGCTCTTGCAGGCTGATGGTCAAACCCATCATCACAGTTATTAGTACAACAAAGTACAGGTAGCTGGTGGTGGGTTGGTAGCATTATTTTTATGTACAGAGGTTTGGCACTTTTGCTATTATTAATGAACATTCTCTGGCTTTCTCTGAAAGAAAGAAACTTAAGTTAATGAGATATCCCAGTTTCTATATTCTTAATCTGACACACTTTTTCTTTCTTTTTTTTTTTTTTTTTTTTCCTTTTTGTCTTTTTTCGTGACCGGCAACGGATCGCAACTCTCAGTGTCGCTCCCATACCGGACCGGGACCGGCAACGGGATCGCAACCCTCGGTGTTGCGCCCACACCTCGCTCAGCCAGTGAGCAGCCGGTCTGTATGTGGGATCCGAACCCTCGGCGGGAGCGCCGCTGCGCTCCCCAAGCGGCGCACTGTAGCAGTGCGCCACCAGGCCGGCCCCTGACACACTTTTTCTGAAGGTTATACTCTGAAACTTGTGAAGAATTATAGGGTAAAGTATATGTAAATTAACTGATACTTTGCCAGGCCTTTAAAATTCTCTATTTTATACTTGGGTTCTGTGAGCTGAATGTGATTTTGGGAAACCACAGAAAACTGGATGCAGTGGATTTTTTCAGGTTAGTATGGTTAGCCAAATATTCCAGAATTGACAAGTGACTGCTTTTTTTCACTTTCATGTTTTACACATTGGTGGTATTTAACTAAACATTAAATATCAGAGGAGTATGTTCTCTTGCCTTTAATCTCAAAAAGAATCTCGTCTTTTTTTTTTTTTTGTGACCGGTAAGGGGATCGCAACCCTTGGCTTGGTGTCGTCCGCACCACGCTCAGCCAGTGAGCGCGCCGGCCATCCCTATATAGGATCCAAACCTGCGGCGGGAGCGCTGCACTCCCGAGTGAGCCACGGGGTCGGCCCAAAAGAATCTTGTCTTTAAAGCCTCCTTTTGTGACTGCTGCCCTCATTCCAAACCATGTGTTCCATGTTTTGTGTGGTTATGCAGCCATGGATACCATCATTTATGAACAAGTATATGCTCAGTGGCTGCAGATATCTGTAAGAGCAGCAAATTTTGGAGGGTGTGTATTTTTTTTTTAATTAATACTTTTTTTTTTTTACATTCTACAATGTTGTAGAGCAGTTGAGAGGGAGAGGGAGAGGGGAAAGGGGAAGAAATGGGATGGAAGAAGGAGGAAGGAGGAAGGGTGGGATTGAGGACTGTGGCACCTCCCTCATTGCTACATGGGAGATCAGTGGGCTTCCAGCAGTGGCTTGGTTATTGCCGGGCTGGGTGCAGATGTCAAGGGGGTGTGGCAGTAGCCCTCACCCCCCACCACCGCAGCTCCGGAACCCGGAGCCCTTCTTGCTGAGGCTTGCTGGTCATCACTGGGCTGGTTGAGTGTGGAGAGGAGCATGATCAAGACCCTCGGCTCCCTGCTGCCCTGGTTCAGGTGAGCGTGGGACTTTTCCTGCAGCAGCTCAGTGGTCGTCTCTGGGGTCGTTACACTTATTGGGCGTGTGTGGCCAAGGCCCTCAGACCCCGTCATAGAAGGGGGGTGTATTTCTTTAGCCCAGGTAATATCCCTGACTCTCAGTTGATTGACAGACCATAAATCTGGTTTAAATGATTGACAGGTAGCAGGTGTCTTCTTGCACAGTAATGCTGCCATGCTGCATGATGCTTCCAGGTGCCTGATTCCCAGGGCCCAGGTGTGGCCATTTGTGCTGTGCAGTGAGAACAGGCTGCTGCTGCCCTGAGCAAGTTGGGCTGGGAGGTGGGCACTGAAGGCTGGTGAACGAGAGGAAACAGATAGGCTGCAACACCGTGATTTCACTTGAGTGGTGTTCTGAATTGTGGTGATGGTTGTTCTGCTTGACTTGTTTCAAGAAAATATGCTTTAGGCCCAAGAGTTTGGGATAGTTGACAGCACTGTTTGAAAAAATACCAGGACTGTGTCAAAGTCCAGTTAAACCAAATGGATAATTTGCATTCTGCTCTGGTGAGATCTTTGATATTTTTTGGCATATGAAGTATGGATCATACCCTTTCTGTGTTTTGCTTCCTGCTAGTGCCTGGATCAAAGTGGAACAGCTAAAGCCATATCATGCTCATAAAGAGGAAATGATAAAGATTAACAAGGGAAAACGATTCCAGCAAGCTGTGGATGCCGTCGAAGAGTTCCTCAAAAGAGCCAAAGGAAAAGACCAGGTGAGAGACTCTGCAGTTCTCACTTTATGCCAGCACCAGACAGTCAGTTTTGCATAGTAACTAACAGACTGCATGTCACCAAAACTCAAAACTCTTCTTATGAAATGGCAGTGGAGAGAGAGCTACTTCAATTCTAAGGTATCAGTGTTTTGCTAATCAGCTTGAAACTCCGTGCATGCAGCTGACCTCTCTGGGATAGGTTGTTGTTTTTAGGAAAGTTGCTTGGACCTAGGAAAAGTAGCTCAGTTTTTTGAGTACAGCACAGGCCATTTCTCCCTTTTATAGCACAGAGGTTAGGAAGGAGTACAGCCCCTGGGATGTATACACTGTCTGGGTTTAAACGCCACTTCCTAGCTTTGGGGCCTTGGACAGGTGACTTAATTTGTGTTATTTTTTGAATCTGCTTCCCCCAATGTAAGTGGGATGCCAGCAGAACCCATTCCATAGGGTGGTCGTGAGGACAATGCGCATGCAGTGCGTGTAGCCATGCATGGCACATGTAAACGGTGGTGGTGATGGCGGCAGCAGCAGCAGCTGTTGTGGTTATCATTATTATTATTAAACTTTCAGACATCATCCCACAATTCTGCTGATGACAAGAATCGGCGTAATTCCAGTGAGGAGAGAAGTAGGCCAAACTCAGGTGATGAGAAGCGCAAACTTAGCCTGTCTGAAGGGAAGGTGAAGAAGAACATGGGAGAAGGAAAGAAGAGGGTGTCTTCAGGCTCTTCAGAGAGAGGCTCCAAATCCCCTCTGAAAAGAGCCCAAGAGCAAAGTCCCCGGAAGCGGGGTCGGCCCCCAAAGGATGAGAAGGTTTGTTTTATCTCTGCAGCTTCTGGGATTAGTGACTGACCTTTGCATAAGGTAGAGTTGTGCTCTACAGTGGAGTGGACATAGAGTCCTGTGCTAAGTGCTACCCAGAAGAATCCTGCAGACCAGGTGAGAGACACGGCCTGGATGCACAGGAGTGAAGTAGAAACACGAGGCAGGTCCTCCTGAGCCAGCGAACAAGGTCTGGCCCTGGAAAGGGCTTAGCATGAGAGAACGGAAGGCATTCCAGAGATGGTGGGCATAGCCCATGTGGGGCTCAGCATAATGTGAGTGTCTTCAGTGTAGGTAGAGGACAGCAAAGAGAGCAAAAGTGAAGGCTGGCGCCGCTGCACGTGGAGGGCCTTGAGGGCTACCCAAGCAGTGTGATGCTGTTCTGGAGTCTTGGGGCCCGGGAAGGTATCTGAACTGGTGTTAAGGTGGCGGTTTGCCCCAGGCAGTGCATTAGTGATCAGGGAGGGCAGCAAGGAGAGGCTTGAGGACAGTGAGAAGGCTAAGCCAGTAGTACATTCACAGGAATGATAGCAAGTGTAGAAAGGAAACGTGTGAGAGGTTCTTCAAAGAAAGAGTTCCTGAGATCTGGCGACTTGTTATGTGGAGGGAGATGAGTTTGAGCCTCATTTCTGGGACAGTGGTGCTCACTTGCCTAAAAGCAAAGGCATCAGGAAGTAGAGACGACTTATGGGAAGGAGGACCAGTTCTGTTTTGAACATGACAAATTGGAGGCGAGGCTGCAACAGCCTGGGAGGCTTGGCACAGCCCCCAGACTGGAAATGTAGATTTGGGAGGCAAATATGTAGACAGGATGGTTGACTCCGTGAGGTGGGACGAGGTTGTCTTGGGAAAGTGAGGAGAGAGAAGAGCAGAGGGCAGAAGGTGCTGTGCAGAGAGAATGCCTAGGTTGGGGTGGGAGGGGTCAGGAGAGTTGCAGACAAGATAAGGTGGAAAGGACACATCCCTCGCCTTCTTGGTGACAAGATTTGGGTTCATTTTTAGAAGCTCACAGAGGAGAATTTGGAGTTGAAGGGGGTGTCTATGTCAGGGACACAGGAAAATTGTCAACAGCAAGATGCAGGGAGCAGAAGCCAGATGGCTGGTGGAAACGGTTGGGTGACAGGCTGGGATGAAACGCTATTTGTAAGATCGAGGCTGGCACATTCAGACAGCAGTGGGACCAGGTGGGTAACGGAGGCAGGAGAGACTGACTGGACATGAGGAGAAACAGCTCAGGCAGGAGGTTCCTGGCCCAACCTGCTCAGGGCTGAGAGCAGGAGGACTGGCCATGGCCATGGCACGGGGTCTGGTCAGGTTATGCTCTGTCCAGGGTTCCAGCCAGCTCCTGCCACATGGTCTAGTTTTTCTCAAGAGAAGCTGGAAATACAAATTTTATGTGAAATGTCCCAATTTTAAATGTTGGAAGCTAAATCAAATTTTTAAAACACTCTTTGGGTCCAAAGGAACATTTCTCTGGGCTAGATTCTGCCTGCGGGCTGCCAATGTGTAGCCACTGGGTCAGAGAAGGCCCTTCCCACTGCTGAATGGCCTAAGACTTGGGAAGTACACAAGAGTGAATGTTGCAGTGGTGGCACCCTGGGTGACCACAATCCCAAAGGCAGAGAAGATTTAGAACAGCCACCAGCTGGGGGGCATGAAGAACTTTTCAGGGAGTGTGATACCATTTAAGCCACAAAAAATGTCATGTGACCTTTGAATTTATTTCCTAGGGATCCAGAAGGAATCTGGCCTGTCAGGTTTTATGCTTTTTTCCAAATTCACATTGCCTAGTATCCCAAACTGTGCATCCCACTGACTCCTGTGTCTCCCCAGAGACAAACAGCTTATTTTGGGACAAAGGGAACTACAAAGGAGTGGTTAGGACAAAGGCCCTGAGTTTAAGTTGTGACCCCGTGCCTTGCTGCAGCTGTGTGACCTTGGCCAAGAACCTGCACCTCAATTTTCTCATCTGATCTTTGGACTAATGATCATACTTGCCTTGTGGGTTCGTTGTGAGAGTTAATCAAGTAACGTGGGCAGAACACTTGGGGCAATACACACAACATACTCAGCACTTGATCAGTGTCATTAGGGTTGTGGCTTTGCAGGCAGTGGCTGGTTGTGCAGTGAGAGCTGGATGGTCTTTGTAGTGCAACCCCAAAGGCCACCACCCAGGCTTACCACTGGGGACTTTTCTCACAAGCTCCCAATAAAAAGCATTTGCCTTTGGGTCTGAATTCTTAACTTGGAGGGGTGGTAATATTTAGCCAGGTTTCAATCCAGGAGCTCTACCTGCTTTTGACCCTTCAACACATCCTTTCTGCACAGTTCCTAGTGTGGCCTGGCCTGTAGTGAAACGGTGTGGCAGCAGAAGAGGACAGATCTTGGCTGGTGGTGTGGGACAGACAGAGCCATGTCAGTTCAGCACTTTCAGACACATAGGAATCTGTGCTCAGACTTCGGAATTTTGGTGCTTCTTAACTATCTGATATATCCTATAGTCTCAAATGAGTGTGTGTGCTGCCATAGTAATTGTCACCTAGCTGGCAAGCTCCTTTCAGAAACAGTGAGGAGTAGCATAGGCCAATAACTGGGCAAAGCCCCAGATGAGGGCCATTCCCAGACATAATCTGACCTGTGAGGATTAATGGAAAAGGCTGACCTTGATTGTGGAGGTGTCAGTTACATACAGGCAGGAGAAGGCTGGGTTTGTGTACAGACTTCCACGAGAGCCATGCCCAGCAGTGCGCTCCCAATCCGTCTAGGGCTCTTATTTCCTAGACCTGGGCTGAGAACTTCAACTCCAGGCACAGACCACCCCCACAGAAGTAGCATTGTCAGGCCTGTGGTTCTCCTAAAATTCCAGATTCGCACAAAGAGCAGCGATTTGGGAGTCAAGGCCTTTCCTTAGCACTGGACCTAGAGCTGCATTCTTCTTGCTCCTGTTCTGTAACTGTGGCCTTAGGCAAGTCCCCAGACCTGTACAGTCTAGGACAGCTGTGCTGTCCCTAGCCACAATGGCTATTTAAATGTAAATTAAATTAAATACAGTTTAAAATTCAGTTTCTGGGTCACACTAGTCTTGTCTCAGGTGCTCCTTAATGACATGATAGGCGGTATCCATGCAGATATGGAACATGTCTGTCATTGCAGAAAATTCTTTCGGAGAGCACTACACAAGGCTTTCGCCCCTCCCCCCCCAGCCATAACCTCTTTACAAATGTTCTTTGAGCAGCTCCAACTTAGGCCAGGTGTCTAGAGGCAAAGCAGCATAAAAGGCAGACAAGTTTCCTCTCGAGAAGAAATGTATTCATTTCTTCAGTAGTGTTGAACTCTGTATGCCAGGTGGGTTCCCAGCATGTGGAGGGGACAAAACCAGTAGAGCTCTTGCTTTCCTAGAATGGTGCCAAATTCCCCAAGTTTCAGTTTTCTCTGTGCCTCGTTTTTCCTTTCATAACATAAGGATGATAGGTCTGTTTCATGAGGTAGTAAGAATTACATGAGAACGTACATATAAAATGGTACATGTCGGGCATACAGTAAGCCCTATAACAGCATTTGCTGTTATTTTAGTCAGCATTGCATTCTAATAGGGGAAGATACAGAGAGGTCAGTTAGAGTTGTTCTGATAAGGTGACATTTCAACAGAAATCTAAAGTGAGCCTGTGAGTAGATACCTGTCAGAAGACCATTCCCAACAGTGCAAAGGCAGTGGGGCAGGCATGTGCTTGGGGACAGGGTAGAGGGCCAACAGGGTACTAGTGAGCTGGAGAGTACTGAGCGTGGAGAAAGAAACAGGACGTGAGGTCAGAGACTGACATGGGATAGAGGTTGCAGGACATGTAGGACCCTCCCTGTAGGCCATGATAGCATAGACTTTAGCTTTATTGTGTGACATGGGAAGCCAGTTTTAAGCAGAGAAGTGACGTGATCTGACCTGATGTTTTAGAAGCTCACACTGGCTGCTGTGTAGAGACTAGACTGTAAGGGTCCAGAGTGACACAGAGAGGTTTATTTTTGCAACTTTCCAAGTGACAGGTGATGGTGACCTGAGCTTGGGTATTAGTAGCAGAAATGGTGAGTAGAAGGGGTTGCATGGATACCTGGTCATCAAGCCATAATCATTGCCTATAAATTAGAGGAAAGAGGTGTTGAGAGGACTCCAAAGAACGTGGCCTGCAAGAATGGAGTGGTCGTTTTCTAGGATTGGGAAGCCTGCGGGAGGAGTGGTTTGCACAGGGAGATCAAGATTCCAGTGCATGTTGAAATTCCTATCAGATATCCAAATGGAAACATCGGTGACCATCAGGGAGTGAGTGAGAAAAAGGGATTATGAGGTGACATCAGAGTGGTAGAGAGGGTCCAACCGGTTCTAAAGCTGGAATAGTGACTGCCCAAAAGAGCATGGGCCAGCACTGGGGATGAGGAGCAGGTCCATTCCCCTGGGTCTCAGGATCGTGCAGGGCTCTTGTCTTCTAACCAGCCTGGGGCCTACTTCTGGCTTTGTCACTTAATGGCTATAAAGTTTGGGCAGATCTCCTCATTAGCAACATGTGGCTTTATTAATTTTTTTTGAGACATCGTGAATTCCCTCTGAGGCCACTACTGTTTTCTTAATGTTCATTAATCATAAGGAATCTTCTCTGACGTTGCTGATGACACTGCAGACAATAGTTGGGCTTTCTAGACTTCCATCCTTGTGAAGTTTCTGTGAAAGAACACGTTGTACGATTCTAAAAATGGAGAAGAAAGGCTCATTTTGGGTTGACAGGAAGAACTTGCCCTGTTTCTCCCAAGGGACAGTTGTCAGAACCTTGCCTGGGGATTGGCTTGACTTTACACTTAGACATGAAACTTTTGCTAGGGTTTAGCTCAACCCTAAAGTGGGATTAGAGGAAGCAAGCATCCTGATGCTCTGCCTTTCCCTCTGCAGGATCTCACCATCCCTGAGTCCAGCACTGTGAAGGGGATGATGGCTGGACCGATGGCTGCATTTAAATGGCAGCCGACTGCCAGCGAGGTAATAAGCTCCTCTGCAGGCAGAGCAGCCTGCAGCTGGTTTCCTTGTGTTACCATGTGACCCGCTTTTCCTTTTTCCCTCTTCTCTTGTGTATAAGGCTTTTTGTTTTTATACTTACAGAATAGTACAGAAGTCTATGAGGTAAAAGTAAAAACCTCCACCCTCTGGGGCGAGCGCTATTAAGTTTGAGGTAACTAAACCCAGAACTCTAATGTGCTCACTCAGCCATCATTTACATGATTATGCACCCATGTGTAATTTTCTTTGGAAGTAGGGTTGTTTTTCACAGAAGTAGGATCATTCCACAAATTTTTATTTTTTATTTTTTGGTGACTGGCCAGTATAGGGATCAAACCTTGGTGTTGTCAGCACCATGCTCTAACCAACTGAACTAACCTGCCAGCCCTACTTGATATTTTATAAATATCTCTCACTGTCTGTAAATACAGCTTTGATGTTTAGTAGTCGGAGGTTATATTATCCTTGGTGTGGCTGCACCTGTCACTGGGCATAATTGTGAAAAGCCCTTGAAAGTCTTCAGTCATTGCCACCCTGTTTCTCTGTTAATATAGATCCTTGGTAAGACGAGACCCTCAGGGGTCTGGTACTAGACACAAGTAGGCCAAAACCCTAAAATTGAAAAAGAGTCCTGAGAAGTGATGTGGATTAGTCTGTTGGGTTATCCAAAGTGCCTGGTGAATACTGAACTTCAAAAATACTACTATGCTTTTCAATATTTTCCCAGTGTTATTGAAATAATTTGTATCTTTACCTGGCAGAAATATCTGTTCTTTTCCACTTAAAGCCAGTTTTCCTCTATATGGAATGGTCGTTTATAAAAGCCTTAGGTCAAAAATGGGAAAAGATAATCCAGACAGTTGTTTAAAAAAAAAAAATACCAGAATCCATAGGTCATCAGCCAGTCACCAGGCAGAAGGAAATAGAAGATAACTTGTTTTATTTGGTTGTTTTCTGATTTCAGCCTGTTAAAGATGCAGATCCTCATTTCCATCATTTCCTGCTGAGCCAAACAGAGAAGGTGAGTTGATCTTTGAGGTTCTCGATCCTTGGCTGGGGACTGGCCTGAGGGGAGAGTGCTACTCCATTGGGACCTCTCCCTACTGGTCTGGAAAATTAGGCTCTGCCTGTACATTCCCAGAACAACTAGCCAGAAAGTTGCCATATAGGTCCACTAGTGGATCAGGTGTCGCTGAGATTAAGAATAAATTAGAAAAAAAAAAAAGCTTTTAGAACTCAGCTGTGTAGTTCAGGCATTTGCAGTCACCTTTAGTATCTAGGGCAGAAACCAAACATGGTGAGCTTTCAGCACCTCCAAAGTAGCCGTGGTTGCTTGGTGGACATGTCCTGAAGCTCACTGGTTGAGACAGTCTCCAAGCCCCACAGGTATGGAGGGACACGGCCAAAGTCTGCTAGGATCCAATAATAGTTTGTGGGGCCGAGCCTGTGGCGCACTCGGGAGAGTGCGGTGCTGGGAGCGCAGTAGTGCTCCCGCTGCGGGTTTGGATCCTATATAGGGATGACCGGTGCGCTCACAGCGCTCACTGGCTGAGCGCGGTGCGGCCGATCTCAAAAAAAAAAAAAAAAAAAGGACAGTAATAGTTTGTGGCTTTGGAGTTGGAAAGATCTGGGTTCCAAGTCCAGTTACACTGACCAGCTCTGTAACTCTGAGCACAAGACTTAACGCCTCTGATTCTTAGTGTTATGGTCAGCAAAAGAACCTCATAGAGTTGCTTCGAGAATCAAATGAGGTCATGTGTGTTAACGTTCTATCATTTGGAGTTCAATAAAATTATACAAGTAAGTATTCAGTGTTAACTTCCTAAATTAGGCCTAATCTTTTATGAAATTATAATGAAGATCAATTAATCACTCAGTTTAATAGTCATTTTTTTCTCCCTCTTTACTAGCCAGCCGTCTGTTACCAGGCAATCACAAAGAAGTTGAAAATATGTGAAGAGGTATGTAGGTCCAACAACTCCCCGTTTTTGTTTTCACCTGGGGCCTTTCACCGTGGGCAGACTGACTTGATGATTTGTGCTTTCTGTCCCTAGGAAACTGGTTCCACCTCCATCCAGGCAGCAGACAGCACAGCCGTGAACGGCAACATCACACCCACAGACAAAAAGTAGGACCTTTGATGAAAAGGCCCCCTGTGGCTCTGGTTCTTCTAGGGGGTAGAGGAGTGATCCCAAGGGAGCTCTTTAAGAGTTGTGTCCCAGCCATTGCTATGATTGAATGGAGAGAGAAGGGGAATGTTATAATTGTTATTGCTAATGATTTGCCTGGCAGCAATGTGACTTGTAGGAGACAGAAGTTATATAAACCTGCAGTGGGGTCTCCCTTGGGCATAAGCTGAGGGGTTGGCTCCATAGCTCACCACTGAGTGTCCAAGCAGTGCACTTTGTTCAGTGGTTTTCAGACTTCCCTGTGTCACAGATTCACCTGGAAGGCAGTTTGTAAAGCCCCAGTTGTTGGCCCCAGTCCTGGGGCTTCTCAGTCAGTAGGTCTGTGGTAGAGCCCCAGGGGCCACACTTTGAGAACCACTGGCTTTGTAGAGCCATGATGAAGACCCCAAAATTAGCCATGGTGGTTGCAAGTTGGGGAAGAGGGGTGAGATGTTTGGAATAAAGCCTGTCCTCCTGCCTTCCCAGCTTTCTCTGCTGTTACTTCCTGAACCTTCCCAGCCACCTGCTGGCTGCTTACCACCCTGCCCAGGCAGGGAGGCAGACCAACATTCTGGTCCCCAAACCATAGCTTACGCCCTGCTCTGTCTGCAGATGTTAATGAAAAGGGTTTCTTTACTAGGAAGGTGTGCTTTCCTGAGCAAGATAGCCAAATCTGAATTTCCATCTTGTACCTTCCATATCATTCTTTCCCAGACTAAAAACAGTATGTCTCTTACTTTATTTCTGCTTTTTGTACTGTCCAAATCACTTAATTCTACAAGTTATTTTTAGTGAACTTTCCTTTTTAGAAAGGAGATGGGGGCATGCTATGTGCTGTTAAAAGGGAAGATAGGCATCATCCATTAATTTAATAAGGATGGTGTTAGTTTGAGGGGAAAAAGGAAAAAGATCAGGACGGGGCTGAGGACAGAGTCTGGATGATTTCACCTGAAGCCTTTATTACCCCTTTAGTCAAACACTGTTGAAGCATGAATAAGAAGCCACCTACAGAGTCAATAATTGTCATCCATTCCACATTAATCCACATTCTCCATCTTGGCTCAAGGACACTATGAGGGACTGTCAGTTGCCATGTTAACAAGCCAGAAGCTTCATCCCCAGGTCTACTGTGTTTCCTAGAACACCAAGAAAAGGAAAGAATTTGTCTGTCATGATTTAGAATCATAGGGGAAAATTGCACTACCAAGATAGCTATGAATGACAAAAGCTACATCCTTGTTTTTAAGTCTCGGCATGGAACTTTGTGGACAAGGGGGCCTGTTCTGTGAGGACAATGGTCGGTTCCACTATCAGCATTTGGTTCAGATGACTCAGTACAGACATGGGACAGGGAGATTAAGCAGGGGGTGTTCCCATCATGAATCAGGGGGGAACCTCTGAGTCAAGGAGCCAGTTTGCAAAGGGAACTTGCAGATGTGATTCCAGAAGACCAAAAGTATGGAAAGGATAACAGGGTCTGAGTGGAGCAGAGGATGTCTGGAGCTGGGAGAAAATTCAAATTGAAAACAATATGGTGTGATCAGAAATGAAAGAGGCCTTTTTTAGCCATTGTCCCATGCAAGGAAGGAGAAAGAAGTGCAAAACCAAGAAAAGATACTTGGACAAGATAAAATTATCTGTAAAACATGTAGAAACAGGGCTGGCCAGTTAGCTCAGTTGGTTGGAGTGTGGTGCCAATAACACCTAGGTCCAGGGTTCCATCCCTGTACCAGCTAGCCACCAAAAAAAAGCAGGTAGAAACAGCACTAGTAGCAGCCAGCCCCAGGTTCTTGGGGTCACAGAAGGAGCAAGCTGAGGAAATGAAAGTGAGCAAAGCATATTGTGCATTGAGGACCTTAGTCAGAAGAATCGAGATGGGCCTGTAGATGGAAGGACGCAATGGAGAGTACTAAGAGGTTCGGGAGAAGATGGACACGGGAATAAAAGTTTGTGCACTGGGAAAGATCGGTTCCAAAGCTCAGGCAAAGGCTTAGCTTTGGAGAATAGGGACAAGACCTACCTATGCTGACAGCAGGAAGATTGGAAAGGCAGCAGGGTGAGAGCGGGGAAAATTGAAGTTGGGAAAAGGAGCTAAAAAGCATGGTCCTGGTTCCTGCAGTTAGGGAAGTTGCCTGGCTCTGAACACACTGTCTCCATGACTTGTCGTGGATCCTGATGTGCTCCAAAGTGGCATCTGAGATCTTAGCGCTCAAGGTAGCTGATCGGGAAGCCTCAAGAGCCAAAGACAAATGTCTGCTTTTTCACTGTAATGGAATTGTAAGCTTAGACCATCTGTTAGGGCAGCAGGGGAACCAGATTTGGAAGACTTGGCCTGAACCATACAAGTCATACTTTGTTCTGTGGCAGTCAAGGATTTAGAAATGCCCATTTACATTTAGGGACACTTTTAGACCATGGTGTGATAAGAAAGGTGCAGTGTGGATGCAATGCCCTCCGCTCTGAGGTGTAGTGGCAGCATACTTGAGTGGTGTTTCTGGTGGTCTGAGGTCATCCCCCACCACCAAGCTTTATGGGGAGTGAGCCCTGTGCTGCATGAAGCAAACAATCTTCACCCTGTCTCTCCCCCTTCACCTTGAACTGATCAGCTCTCTCTGTTGCAGGATAGGCTTTTTGGGCCTTGGCCTCATGGGAAGTGGCATCGTCTCCAACTTGCTAAAAATGGGTCACACGGTGACTGTCTGGAACCGGACCGCAGAGAAAGTAAGCATTCAAGGGTGGTGCATGTCAGCTGTGGAGTGGGGGGTAACTGAGGATAGAAGTCTCTTCCTGTTGTCTCTACTCAGCATTCTGCATGCAGTGGAGTAGGAGAAGCCAAGCTCTTAGTCTAGACAGGTGGAGAGGTAGACATATAAATTTAGAATATTATTATAAAAACTAAGTATTCAAAAACACCCAGAGGAAGGCTGGCCAGTTGGCTCAGTTGGTAGAGCATGACCTGGTAACACCAGGCCAAGGGTTCAGATCCCCTTACTGGCCAGCTGCCAAAAGAAATAAATTAATTATAAAATAAATAAAAATACTCAGGATATACGTATAAAATGAAGGAAAAATTCCTCCCTCCCTGCCATTACCTAAGATGGCTCATGTTAGGTTCTTTTATCCTTTTTTCCATGTGTATACAAATATGTATGTATATGTTATGTTGTATGTGTGTGCATGTATAGTGAATGTTGTTCATATGGAGCATACAGATAGATCTGCTCTGTTCTTTTTAGTGGCTGCATCGTATTCTGTTGTTTGGATTGTATTGTACAGTGCTGTGCAGTAAAGCATTTTGCAGTGATGGAGGTGTTTTATATCCGTGCTGTGCAGTGTGGTAGCCTCTAGCCCCATTTGGCTATTGAACATTTGAAACATGGCTAGTACAACTGGGGAATTGATTTGAGTTTTACTTAATTTAATTTTTTTTTTTTTTAAAGATGACCGGTAAGGGAATCTTAACCCTTGACTTGATATTGTCAGCACCACGCTCACCAAGTGAGTTAACCAGCCATCCCTATATGGGATCCAAACCCGTGGCCTTGGTGTTGTCAACACCACATTCTCCCGAGTGAGCCACGGGCTGGCTCTACTTCATTTTAATTTAAGTAGCCTCGTGTGGCTCGTGGCTACCATACTGGACAGCATAAGTTTAGAAGTTCTTAACCTAAGGTGACAGTCCATGGCTTCAGGGGTCTGTGTGTGCACAGAAATGGAATTCCAAATCTGCAACTGTGCATGGTTTGTAATGGAGCGAAGCCATGCTCCCATCAAGTTCTCACCCAAGAGAAGGTGAAGAGCCCTAGACTAAGTATCAGAGAACTAAAGCACTGTACTATTTGCGTGGAACAAAGGAAGAGAGACTAAAAAAGTACCCACCTCGAGAGGAGCAAGGTGTGGTTGAGCATCTATCTGTGAAATGGACGAGCATGCCCATGGGTGCACAGCGAGGTGTCACCAGTCCGGGAATGATGCAGCAGTAGTGAGAGCTGAAATGAGGTGTGATTGCTTAAAGGAGGCATTGGAGCCGATAACTTTGAATTAACAAAAATATTCAAGGCAAAGTAAAATTCACTTTGCTAGAATAAAAGAATAAGAAGGGGGCTGGCCAGTTAGCTGAGATGGTTAGTGTGTGGTGCTGAGAACACCAACGTCCAGGCTTTGATCCCCGTACTGGCCAGCCGCCTAAAAATAAAAATAACAGGGAACTGGTTGAAGAGTTGAAGGGGGCATGGGGAAAATGGGTACCGAAGGCCACGCAGTATTTGGGCTTCAGGTGCTAGGCATTAGGCAGACACTGTAGGGACATAAGTCAGGAGTGGGATCTCAAAGGCCCATTGGCAGGATGTTTTGTGATTCAAACATTCTTCTAAGGGCCGGCCCGTGGCTCACTCAGGAGAGTGCGGTGCTGATAACACCAAGACCACAGGTTCGGATCCCATGTAGGGATGGCCGATTAGCTCACTGGGTGAGCATGGTGCTGACACCACCAAGTCAAGGGTTAAGATCCCCTTACCGGTCATCTTTAAAAAAAAAAACAAAGTATGTAGGGATGGCCGATTAGCTCACTGGGTGAGCATGGTGCTGACACCACCAAGTCAAGGGTTAAGATCCCCTTACCGGTCATCTTTAAAAAAAAAAACAAAGAACCATTCTTCTAAGGCCCTGCTACCTGTGAAGGCTAGAGTAACCAGGAAATCTAGGCATGTATATGGTTGCAGGAACATCAGGAGAATCAGAAAGTTGAGTGCATTTCCCTTTGGTAGAAGTACCTGCCGTGGTCCTGTTTCTTCACTGAGAAACCTAAATGTTATAACATGATCGCTCGTTCCAGATTAATTTACGGGAAGGCAGCAGAGCAAAGCAGTTAAGAACTTAGGTTCAGAATCAGGCAAGACTGAATTTGAGTCACAGACCTGCTGCTTCCCTTCTTCAGCAAGGTCCTACTTCCTCCCTTGAAGTCCTCCTCTGTAGAAGGATGATAGCAAAAGCACCTGACTCAGGAGCCTGTGACAGTTAAACGGGATGGTTTAAAATGCTCAGCTCAGTGCTTGGCACAAATTACTTAGTAAATATTATCTTTTTGAAGCCATTTAATCCTTATGACAATCCCCATGGAATTTTTTAACGGCTTTTTTTACCTTTGTAGTCACAGATTTTCAATATAATTATTTTTGATGGCTTCAGAATATTCCACCAAATAGATACTTTAATCCATTTGGTGGACATTTGGGTTACTTCTTCCCCCCTCTCAATATAAAATGATCATTGTGATAAACATCTTTGCACACGTGGCTTTTTGTGAATTTGGATTCATCCCTCAGAGCAGGTTTCTAGGAATGGAATGAATAGGTCAAAGGGAAAGAACTCTGGGATTCTTGATACTGTATTGCCAATTGTTTGCAAAAAGGATCACACCAGCAAGCATTCGTTGGAGCCTTCCATTAGCACTCTTGCTATTCATCACATTTACTCTACCTCCCTTTAATAAAAATAGGGAGCAAAACCATTTTTCAGGGCTATTGATAAAAGTGACTCTCTGGTTCTTCTGGAATAATAAGAAATATAGTTTTAATTTTCAGAAAAGGGAAAGTAATGAGGACCCTCCCAAGCAAAGATTGAAACATAATATAAAGCTGATTACTAAAAGGCTGCAGTAAAGACCCAGACCCAGCAATTAGACTGGGTAGCCTCAGATGTCCTCTGATAAGGACAGCCGGTTGCAATTCAGTGGGACAGAATGAAGGATTGATCAGTAAATTGTGTTCAGGACAACTGGTTAGCAACTTGGGAAAACGCTGTTTTCACTTCATTAAAATATTTTCCAAATCAATTACCGAATTAATTTTTTTAAAGGAAAAACTGGAAGAAAATAAGATTAAATATTAACATAGGTCTTTCTAAATCTAGAAGCAATCAAAATCATGAAAGAAAAGATCAATAGATTTATTTGATAATACTCTCCCCCCCAAAAATGAATAAAATTGAAAAGTATACCAACTAGAAGTACTTGTATCAAATATGACAGGAAAAGAGAAATATATTGATTTTATTAATCACATAGTTTGATAACTGTAAGAAAAAAAATAGCTCACACAAAAGGAAACGATAAACGAAGGTATAAAAAGGGTTTTTTAGGGCTGGCCCGGTGGCGCACTGGATAAGTGCGCTGCTTGGGAAGCGCGGCGGCGCTCCCGCCCGAGGGTTCGGATCCCACATACAGACCGGTTCCCGCTCACTGGCTGAGCGAGGCGCGGGAGCGGCACCGAGGGTTGCGATCCCGTTGCCGGTCCCCGGTCCGGTCCGGGGGCAACACTGAGGGTTGCGATCCGTTGCCGGACACGGAAAAAGACAAAAGACAAAAAAAAAAAAAGGGTTTTGTAATCAGTAATCAAGATATATTTAAAAAGTTGCCATTTTTAGCTGATTAAATTTTGAAGTCTGAGGGCTGGCCCATGGCTCACTTGGGAGAGCATGGTGCTGATAACACCAGGGCCAAGGGTTCAGATCCCTATATAGGGATGGCTGGTTAGCTCACTGGCTGAGCGTGGTGCTGACAACACCAAGTCAAGGGTTTAGATCCCCTTACTGGTCATCTTTTTTAAAAAATATATTATTAAGTAGGGAAAATTTTTAATGTATGTATGGGTGGTTATTTGTTGTTTTTAAATTATATACTCAGTGCTGGTAATTGTAGAGCTTGCTGGTAATCATTATAAACTGACACAGTCCTACTGGAAAGTCGTTTGTCTCCATTTGTTAAGACTTTTAAAACTGTTTGGAACCTGTTTTACTCTACTTATGGAGAACTAAATTTAACTAACCTATACTCTTGTGAGAAATAAACTGAGCAACTGGAGTACAGTGTTTCTGTACAGTTTTTGTCTTTAGCCTTTATGTATCCATTCAAAACACTGTTTTTCAAAGTTACTTTGATCAACTCCTTTCTTCCTATCTCCTTCACTTTGGTTATGTGATTCATTTGTAATACAATTAGATTCATATGTCATAGCCTGCATGTTATTTTTTTCCTCATATCCTACTTGATTTTTTTTTTTTTTGTCTTTTTTTTTTCGTGACCGGCAACGGATCGCAACCCTCAGTGTCGCGCCCGTACCGGACCGGGACCGGCAACAGGATCGCAACCCTCGGTGTTGCTCCCGCACCTCGCTCAGCCAGTGAGCGGCCGGTCTGTATGTGGGATCCGAACCCTCGGCGGGAGCGCTGCCACGCTTCCCAAGCGGCACACTGTAGCAGTGCGCCACCAGGCCGGCCCTGGAGAACTAAATTTAAAACAGAAAAGTTTTGTAGTAAAGATGTTTGATGGTGTCATTTATAATTAAAGATTGAAAGCAGACTAAATATCAAACTACAAGGGAGCCATTAGGTAAATTAAAGTGTTTCTCTGCAGATGAAATATTGTGCAGTCATCCATTATAAATGATAATTATGAAAGATAGCAATGGTATGGATAAATACAAATCATACAAAATATAAAAAGCTGGATACAAAATAGTAAGCCCAAATTATTCTAATTACCTTCTTAAATGCTTGTGGGAAAAGGAAATACACCAAAATATTAATGATTTGTTATGGGATGTTCTGGGTGATTTTAATTATCAGAATAGAAAAGTTAGTACTTTTAGGGATGGCAGGTTAACTCACTTGGGAGAGTGTGGTGCTGATAACACCAAGGTCAAGGGTTCAGATCCCCATATCGGCCAGCTACACACACACAAAAGTTAGTACTTTTAGCCCCCCCAGAAGTCTTAACCTGCTAGCAGTGTTGGGAAACAGCACAAAAAAGAATGGCAGACAGGAGGAAGCTTCCCAGTCCCAGCCCCCCTTTCCCAGCAGAGTACTGATAGCTCAGGGCACTGGGCCGATTTGGCCACAGCAGATAGCACAGAGGGGCTGGGGATAGGTACTGGTCGCAACCTGTTTTTCAAACAGCAAACCTTCAGCAGACACTTTTTATGCTTCCTGTGAAATAGCACATCCTCCTGGGCACCAGGGATACAAAAACAGAAGACAGTCCTTCTGAGGCCCTGTCAGTGCTTTAAGAAGTCAGGCCTGCAGCTCTGGCCTCCCAGGCTTCCACCCTCAGCCACCTGCCTTGGGAGGCCGGCCAGGAGCACTGGTCAGGGCACCTCTGGCCTGGCTGGCATGTTTGTTGTGCACTGCCTGCAGCTCACGTTAGGATCTGTGACTTTTGCAGTGTGATTTGTTCATCCAGGAGGGGGCCCGCCTTGGAAGAACCCCCGCTGAAGTCGTTTCAACTTGTGACATCACTTTCGCCTGTGTGTCGGATCCAAAAGCAGCCAAGGACGTAAGGATCCTGTCCCTCTCCTCAGTGTCTCAGGTCTTAGCCAGGGCAGCTGGCTGGCCTGCTTCCCTTCTCCCTTGCACACTGAGTGAGTGAGTGCATGCGAGGGGTTGAATTTCCCATCTGGGGCCATCTCCCATTGTGAAAGTTGTTTGTGTAAATTGAGTACAGACTTCCTCTAATTAAGAACAAAGAATGAAAAACTACTGGGGTCCTTGAAGTTTGTGCTGAAATGGTTCCTGATTTGGCTCATTATTCTTGTTGGGCTGGGAGACTTTGGTCCAAGTGCCAAGTTCCTATGTTTAGCTATCACTGTTATTTATGTTTTAAAAGTTCAAGTGCAGTAATCATCTTGTTAAACTGGTGACTAGTCTAATTCAAGTAAATCCGAAGAAGCCCTCAGAAATAAATATTGAGGTTCTGTCTTTTGAATGAGGAGGGGGTTTAATAAAAAGAAATACACACACATGCACACATATTCTTTTTAAGATAAGTGGATACATACTGGAAAAACTTTTCTGTCCCTTGCTTATTTAATTACTCTTCAGCATTAATGGTTAGCTCCTAATCAGGAAACGAGCCAAAAAAGCAACAGGATTCTAATCTTGGGTCTATAGGGCTCCTGAGTGTCCAGCTGGAGCCTGGGCTATTGCTCCTCCCTTGTGTCCCCACAGCTGGTGCTGGGCCCCAGTGGTGTGCTGCAGGGGATCCGCCCTGGGAAATGCTACGTGGACATGTCAACGGTGGATGCTGACACTGTCACCGAGTTGGCCCAGGTAGCAGCTTTGTTCAGCTGGCTCTCCAGCATTCTTTCAGTTGGAGCCCAAGACCCAGGCTGGCCACACAGCAATGTGGACAATTTAGTTACTCTAGAGCAGAGCCAGAGAGAGAAGAGGAGAGACCAGTAGCCTTGGGACTAGCACTAGCCTGTCTTCACTCTCTACCTTCAAAGCTGCTGCTGGTCTGAGCAGCCATGGCAAGGTGCCACCTGGTTGGGATGTGCATTGAGTCCTGTAGCCACCAGTGTGGCCTTTTTGGTTTCAGCAGCTATCTACAGTTGATAATAGCAAAGTATCCCTCCTTCCCAAGGAGCTGGGCCCAAGTGAGGGAGCAGCGATTTTTGGACCCATGTGTGTTCTGAGGGTGGTTGAAGTCAAGGAAGAATAGGGTCCGTAGGGGTGTTAGGCAGAGCCATTGGCATGGTCACGTTTGATTCTAGTCTTTGGTCTTTGTAAGAAAATCAGAGTGAATGGGAGCCTCTGTGGATACAACAGCTTCTCTCTTATTACTGCCATGTGACTCGTGCCTCTGCTCGAGGACGGCCTGTCTAACCCTCCACAGTGTTAGTCCTTGATACAAGTGTCAGCTTTGAAACCTCAGCATCAGTAGCCAACTGCTCCCACCCCTTTAGCTCTGGAATGTGTGATAAGAAACCGTGGCCACCTGAAGACACTCCTTGTTCCCTGCCTGGAAAGCCCTAGAGAGGCCTCCAGAAGCTGTGACTTTGCTTTCCAGGTGATTGTGTCCAGGGGGGGGCGCTTTCTGGAAGCCCCAGTCTCAGGGAATCAGCAGCTGTCTAATGACGGGATGTTGGTGATCTTAGCGGCCGGAGACAGAGGCTTATACGAGGACTGTAGCAGCTGCTTCCAGGCAATGGGGAAGACCTCCTTCTTCCTAGGTAATGTGCCTGTCCACCCGTCGGGCCTCATCCCCTCTAGACCACACTGATGGCAGTGTCAGTCCTGCATAGCCTCTCTGCTGGGCCCAGGGAAGTTTCCTTTGACAGAGGAAGAGCCAGTTCTGTCGGGAGTGGGGTTGTCTCCCCTGGTGGAGAGGTGGGTCCCAGCAGAGGTAAAGGCGAGCAGAGAGGCCCTACCTGCAGAATTCTTGGAATGAGACCGTGACTGTTTGCTTTGGGCAGGTGAGGTTGGCAATGCTGCCAAGATGATGCTGATCGTGAACATGGTCCAAGGAAGCTTCATGGCCACCATTGCTGAGGGCCTGACCCTGGCCCAGGTAACAGGCCAGTCCCAGCAGACACTCTTGGACATCCTCAATCAGGGACAGTTAGCCAGCATCTTCCTGGACCAGAAGTGCCAAAGTAAGTTGCCTTTGGTCCCTCTTTTCCATTTTATTTTTTATTATTGCTGGGGAACTGGCTCAGACAACTGTCATAAAACAGTGTCTTCCTCAGGAGTTCATGAGGTATGAAAGATGCACTCACTCCAGTCAGTCTGTACCCTATCCCATCAGTCTCCTCCACACAGGAGGTCCAGGGACATGGTCAATGGGGTTTGGGGACACAGGCTGGAGCTCTGTCTTTTGGGTCTTGAGGGCACAGGCAAGGCCAAGAAGGTGATGCTAATGGGAGATGCTAGGTGTTGAGCCCTGATGGATTGCAGGTAAGGTTTTACTTAGGACCTTTGGATTTCTTCTGATAAGAGGCTTTCCCTCCTTAGATATCCTGCAAGGAAACTTTAAACCTGATTTCTACCTGAAATACATTCAGAAGGATCTCCGCCTGGCCATCGCTCTGGGCGATGCCGTCAACCACCCAACTCCTATGGCAGCTGCGGCCAACGAGGTAACTTGGCAGAGGGTGTGGCCTGGGGCTTAAGAACATTCCATTTCTTTTCCTTTCATTATTTCTTTCCCTCTACTTTAGCTGTTCTTTGCTCTTTTTCTTAACCCCTTAAGGTGGAGTCTTAGGTCATTGATTTTAGAATTTCTTTTTTTACAACATGAGCATTTAAAGCTATAAATTTCTTTCTGAACCACACTAATTTTCCTTGTGATTTTCTTTTTTTTTTTTTTTAACCTGAGTTATTTAAAAATTTGGCCAATATTTGGGGATTTTCTAGATATCTGTGGTTATTAATTTCTAACTTGTTTCTGTTGTGATCAGAGAACATGCCCTGAATGATTTTTTAAACTTTGTGTTTAAATATTAGAGTGCCATCTTGTCATTCTATGGAAACATTCTGTATTCCACTCTAAGTACTGTTGTCAAGGTATCTATCATACGTGTTTTTCTTTTTTTTTAAAAAAAGAACTTTAAAGAATATTTAAGACATTTTAAGACATAAATATCACTTATTTTAATAAATATTTCTTGAGCACTTACTATATGCCAAGCACTGTCCTAGATCCTGGGGCAATAAAAACTAGGCATGATTTAAGTTCTTACAGTTTAATAAGGAAACAGGTTTAAACAAATAAGTACCCAAAATACAGTGTGATATTTGCTATAAAAAATAAAAGAGTGTTATGAGATCTTTAAAAAAAAAAAAAAAACTTCGTGTTTATTCAGACTTGTCTTAGGCAGATGGTCTGTCTTAATGGATGCGCTTAATAATGAGTGTTCTGCCGTGGTTGCTGTAGTGTTCTGCAGATATCAGTTAGGACAAAATGGTGGATGGTGTTTCTCATGTCATCTTTATTGACCTCTTAATCTAGTTCTTTCAATTGCTGAGAGATCCCCATACTGGTCACCCACCAAACAAAGTAAGAAATTGCTGAGAGGTTTGAGAGGGTCTATGATTGTGTGATTGTCATGCCCTTTAATTCTGTCCATTTTTGCTTAGCATCTTTTTTTTTTTTTTAATTTTATTGTGTCGATATGCAATGTGGTTGATTATTGTGGCCCATTACCAAAACCTCCATCCCTCCTCCCTCCCACCCAACAATGTCCTTTCTGTTTGCTTGTCATATCAACTTCAAGGAACTGTAGTTGTTATGTCTTCTCCCCCCCCCCCCGCCCCGGGTTTGTGTGTGTGTGTGTGTGTGTGTGTGTGTGTGTGTGTGTGTGTGTGTGTGAATTTATTTATTTATTTTTAGCTCCCACCAATAAATGAGAACAAGTGGTATTTCTCTTTCTGTGCCTGACTCGTTTCACTTAATATAATTCTATCAAGGTCCATCCATGTTGTTGCAAATGGCAGTATTTCATTCGTTTTTATAGCTGAATAGTATTCCATTATGTAGATATACCACATTTTCCGTATCCACTCATCCAATGATGGACATTTGGGCTGGTTCCAACTCTTGGCTATTGTAAAGAGTGCTGCGATGAACATTGGGGAACAGGTATACCTCCAACTTGATGATTTCCTTTCCTCTGGGTATAGTCCCAGCAGTGAGATAGCTGGGTCATATGATAGATCTATCTGCAATTCTTTGAGGAACCTCCATACCATTTTCCATAGAGGCTGCACCAATTTGCAGTCCCACCAACAATGTATGAGAGTTCCCCTCTCTCCGCAACCCCGCCAGCATTTATCTTTCAGCGTCTTTTGGATTTTTGCCATCCTAACTGGGGTGAGATGGTATCTCAGTGTGGTTTTGATTTGCATTTCCCGGATGCTGAGTGATGTTGAGCATT